TTTGCCAATGACTGTAACTTGTACTCCCTGTTCGAGAATTTCTGAAAGTAACCTAGCTTGTTTCTAAATATATGCAATAGATGTCCTAATGTGCTGAACCTAGAGTCCACCCGAGACCCTTCCCTCCTAGGGCATGTACAAAGACAAAGAAGAAAGTTTAATATAAAGCTTCTAATCTCTAACAATGACGAACCATATTTACATAAGGTACTTAAATCATCACCCTGTACCTGACTTCCAGTCAAATTCCTTTTGAGCAGCTGCAAACTCCAATATGCATGTTAGATTCCGTAATATGGATGAAAAAGCCAAAATTAGTACTATGTATGCGAAAAGTCTGATAATGGAGAAACAGAGATTATAGCCATTGAAGCAGCATAATCAAAAGAACCTTAATTGAGGAGACAAACCAAAAAAATAACCATAAATTATATTTATGCAAAGCACAAATGAATAAGCATTGGTTGGGATGAGCATTTGCTCGGCATGAACCCACTAAGCATGTGAACTGAGTACAATTTTCTCGCCAATCCCAATACACATGGCACACGATTTAAAAAATCTAGTTTCCAATGTTAAGCAATCCTTCCATAATCCTTTTTTCCACGAGATGCTGGTGGAATGTTTGAGACAGGGTGATTAGCCTTACGCCCTACAGTATAATGCCAGGATGAATTTCAATGATCAGATGACTACCATTTTCTCTAAAATATCATTTTCTTGTGTATTTTGCTTCATATATTGAGAACTATTGACAACAAAAAGAAAAGGCAGGAAAAATGAACACTGCAGTATTGCAAGTTTTAAGTCAGGAAGTACCCCATGGCATGCTATTGCTAAATGAGCTACTTCCAGGAGAACGTTGGCCTCCAGTGTTGAAGCTGGAAGGAGGGAGCTGAACCTTCATGTGATTCCATTCACTACCCCAAGCAAAAGTTGCCCTCCCATGATTGAACCGATGAACTGGTTGCTGACCTAAACGGCTGGGAGAATTTTGCGAAATATGAGGCATGAAATGGGAAGGCTTTGACATGACACGGGACGACCCACCATGGGGGTCATGAGCTGAAGGACTGCCCACTTCTCCATGTGAGAATCCTTGTATAGGTCCATTTTGTTTGAAGTAAATCAAGTAAAGCATCAATGGGATTAAAAAAACATTCAACTCCATGGCAAAATAGAAATGTAAAAAAAAAAAAAAAAAAGAAAACTCAAAACATAATGTTCAACTAAATATTTTGAATATCAAATATGAGCTGTATACAAGAGAGTTCACTTATTTTATTATCCAAATTCAATTAATTTAAAATACTGAAATGTTATGCTAGGTATTCATCCAATAATGATGCCAGTCATAATACGTAGCATAAATTACGTGGAAATAGACCCATAAACCAGTGATTCAGTGGGTGGGTGAAAGTTGCACACAGCATATACATGACAGACAGAATCAACTTAACAGAATGTACGACCTACCTCT